CGACTCACGGACCGGTACCGGTCCGAGGCCCGGGGTTGGGGACCGCTGATGTAGATGAAACCCTATTTAGAAATTGCTGTTAAACGTTAAGTCCCTGTCATTACTGTATACTTACTAACACATACATAGAGTTCCACTAGCTGATGCAATTTTTAAAATACTTCAAATGTTGAGAGAATACTAATATAATAGATGAGATTTTCTTATATATTACATTTAAAGTTCCGAAGTTCTCACTTTGTTGTTTGAATAAACTCAGTTTTCTGGTTTTAACATTTCGTTTAATCAGGGTATGCTGTTGCAAGCTATTAAAGAACACTTCTTTGTTTCTGTTCCGTAACAGCTGCTATAAATGCTACTAAGCCATTTTTCACATAACAACGCTAAGCACTGAGATCATATTACTGCAAATACAACAAGACAAAAGTCTCTGTACAAAAACAAACATCCTTGATTTGTGAGCATTAAGAAATTGAAACATATTTTTCTCTCTATCTGCATGTAGCTTTACTTAATTTGAGTGTGTGAAGGAAAACTGTGCATTAAAGTGAACTTCCTTATATTAATGTTTCTCATTTCTGATGCAAAAGAAAAAGCAAAGAATAACAACATATACAAGAGCATTGGTGACTTTTACAAAGTACGCGCGTCAGCAGCCACTTTGTAACTTTGTAGTTCTTATATAGTTATAATTTTCTATCCTACTTGAGCAGTCAATCATTTTTGTTCGCACACACACACATTCGTACAAGCTCATTTTCTGCTGAACCAGTTTCTATTTAACACACATGAAAACTGATGAAAGCATGTTCCATATCTTGCTCAAGGACACTTTGACATGCAAACTGGAGTAGTTAATCAGAACAGTTAATCCTGGAATATCTAGGATGGACAAAATTTCACAAACTGACTTGTCGTAATGGTGGCCATCTGGTTACAGCCATATGGATAAAATCATGCTAAAAAGCCTCTAAAGCCTCTGTTGATCATATTAACTATGTATCACTCACACAGGAAAAAGAGAAGTATTGCAAAACATATTTTGCATGTGAGATGTACACTTTCAAAACAGGACAGACGTACAGATGATACTCCCCCTGTTCCTGTTCAGATGCTGCAATGATAAAAACCTGATGAAGCACACATTAAAGGGCGATATCTATGACAGCTCTGTAGCGTTCTTATTTAGATATCATGCGCAAGTTCCTAAATGAGCTTTAGTCAACACATCTGCTGTTTATTCTTGAGTTTTAAAAAAAAAAGAAAGAAAAAACTTCACACCCAGTACACCTCTCACATCCGAATGAAATGTAACTGACATGAAATTAGAAGTGAGAACTTCTTTCTTTTTATCTTCTTCAGTGTCCCATCCCACAAGGCTCAGTTCAACTGTGTGGTATTTACCTTTTGGTGGTTCAGTCTTTAGTTATTTAAAGCAGAATGCAAAGTGTTACGTTAAGGCACTAACATAACACCATTATTTCATCTTACAAAGTTGTGCCAAAGCTCAGTGTTGGGCTTTAATTCAGTGCTTTTGTTTAGTTAATCCTTCACCTTTATTTCTTTCTTAATAATGTTTTCTTATGTTGTTCATTTTATCTTCTTCTTTCTTGTGCTCCCTGTATGGGTCACCACAGAGGATCATCTATCTATCCCCAGTATCCTCTTCGGTCACACCACCTCTCTACATGTCCTCCTTCATTATATTGATGAATCTTCTCTTCCTCTTTTCTTCTGCCTGGTAGCTCCATATTCAATATCCTTTGTCCTGTTTACTCTCTCTTCACCTCCAAAACAATCTTTAAATAGCCCAGTCCTATCTACACCACAGTAGGACAGCTTGAATTCACCTCCAATGCTCCTGTCTTTCCTTCCCTTCAACCTGGTTTCCTAAACACAACAGTATAACTACTTCCATCATATCTCCATCATACCTGTTTCTTTATCAGCCATAGTCCCTACATTTAAAGCCTTCATGCTGTCTAAGCAGCTCTAACCTGTTTATCTGTGTCAATATCTGCATCCTGTGGTGTATAACACTAGACAGGGACAACAGATTTTTAAGGTTATGTGAGCAGCAGCATTGCAGTTCAGTGTTCACTCTGTTACTTGAGTTTCTCCTGGGCATGTTTTTCCAGTGTAGAGAGCTTCATCCTCCCTCTGACGTAAGGAACAGCCAATGCTGTGGGGAGTGTGTTTCTTCTGCAACAATGTTTTGGTGGGTGGTATGTGTCAAAGTAATATCCACATGAATGCAGGAGTGCGATTGTGACTACTTTGTGATTGGGTGAATAATACTTGTGTTAGTGCTTTGAGTGCTCCATTGAGTAGAAAGCAGCTGAATAAGTCCATTTACTATTTACTTTTTTAGTGGTCTTCCACTTTTCCTCCTTTCTCCTAGCTATATGTTCAGCATCTTTTGTCTAAGATATCCACTACAGAAGGACGAGAACGATATCAGAAGGACACCTCAGTCCTTCTGATGTACTTACTTGTAATCCTACCCCTCGTGGTACTGTTGTTGTCATTGTCTATGGAGGTTGGAGTATTGGTACCAGTAGGGGGCGGTACGTACCAATCGAAAGGCACTTCCGGAAACAAAGAACGAGCTGATGTCCAATCAGAAGACTTTTCACTTTCAAACGATGGTTCCTTCTCCCAGTTACCGAAAACCACAACAAAACGGATCGTAGCGCTCGGTCCAGGCATTTACAGGACTCTCTTTTACAGCTAGTAGTTTTTTGTCAGCTCCATCTGCCTGCTGCAGACAGCTGTTTCATGGGAACCCAGGAGGGAGAGAGAGGTAAGGCAGAAGACCCTCCAACTCCGAGGAAAGCTAATGACACGTAACGCTGACTTAGAGCTAACGTTAGCACACGGTTAAAGTTGCGACTTCTCACTTGTCAGTAAGCCCAGCTGGTATAAGCGATTTATCCATATATTATAGAGAGAACTAGAGATGAAAACGTGGGCTCTGCTTTTGTTGTTTTCTTAAAATGTTCACGTTCGTGTTAGCAAACATTAGCAGTCTTAGCTAGCTACTTTTGAGTTGTCTTAGCCGGTGAAGTTGCGTAAAAAACATAAAATATAACGAAACAGATGGCAGACAAATTTAGACAGTTTTTTGATTTCAGGACAAAACACAACTACTGATATTATTTATTTAAAACCTAATTTGTTCCCATCAAATCAACAATTTTAGCCGGCGACTAGTGTAGATAGTAGGTAAAGCTACCCCCGCCCCGCTCTCAGACTTAAGTTTGCCGGGGGCGGTCATGATTGAGGCAAACGTAAAAGGCGTTGTGATAGAAGAACCAGTTAATGTCATTAAAATGAGTTATACAAAAGTTAATCAAACTCTTCATGCTCGATAACCTCGCTGTATTTTTTTTAATTACAGCGAGTTTTCCACTCGAAGTGAAAACTCGCTTACAAAAGGGCTCTGCTTTTGTAATTTCTTTAATACTCCATGATTACGTCAGAGAAATAAGTTCTCGAGTTGCTGTTATATGAATGAACGTGACTTCTCTTTTTTTGTCTACAGATTGGGTTGATGTGGCAAATGATCTTCTCAGCAAGTGTCACGTAAACCTGAGGCTCAAGAAACTTACGGACTGTAATGCAGATGTTTTCATTGCCCTGTATGAGAACATCCTGGGGGAGAAAGTTCCAGGTAAGAGGAAGTTACAGATCTGGCAGATGTCCGCTTGTACATTTTTTAAGCAAAAGTGTAAAAATGTCTCTGTTCATACCTTTGTAACTCAGTATCTTGAGATTTTGACATGTCTAATGTCTATAGATGGCGGAGCATGGGGGGCATTACTGTTGCAGGTAATCATGTAATCAAGTAGGGGGGCTACAGTCTTAAGATTGAAATTCCAGTTCCAGAGTTAACAGTACTGTGAGTTTTGACTATGGCATTAATCAAATTTACAATCTTTTAAACAATACTGACATTACAATCGTTTAACCAAAGTACTCACAGTATTTGAGAAAAACCTGGATTATCAAAAATTTAAAAACAAACCAATTCAAACAAATAAAAAAAATGGACTGCACTTGCCACAGGGAGTTAACTGAACTTTCATGGAAGGACAAAAGTAAAAGACAAGATGTGCTAAAAGGGAAATTAGTGAATTATTGCAAAACATATAATCCAGAACAATGATTGTTTAACTTTCATTATATGTGGAAACCAAAGTTGTAATTCAAATTAAAATAAAATTATTGCACAGTCCAACTATGACTTTAGTTGGGAGATTAGTTTTGTAAGATTGCTGTCCAAGACCCTATTTTCTTTATTGTTAAGTTGAAGGGGAAAGTTGAGCATGTATGCATTCATTCATTCAGCATTTGGTTAATCAGATATCTGTTTGTTTTTTATGTGTTTAGATTATATTGCAGTGCCATGTAGTCAAGAGGAAGATGTCCACAATGTCCAGTGTGTGATTGATTCTTTGTCCTTGGATTACCTTCAAATCAGCCTCTCACATATTACAGGTAAGAGAAAAAAATAATTTGTAAAAACAAGGAGTTAATAATATAGGTCTAAAATTTTGAATGTGCATGTCAGAGAAGCGCAAATATGAATCACTGTTTCACATCTGCATAACATTAACTTGAATGAACTTGAGATCATCATGAAATTCATTCAATTTGTACTGCATGGCAGATGTTGCAGAAACAAGACATTTAATGAGTATGAGTTTGTTTTCAGGAGAAAATGTTGTCAGAGGGGATAAAGAGTCGGTTAAGAACCTCTTGGAAATCTTTGATGGCCTCTTGGAATATCTGAACGAGGAGATAAATGACGGGTCGCCGAACAGTGGTAGGAAAATGAAATTGTTGCTTTTCCCTCATTTACTTTTACTTTGAAAGGCAATTAAAAGTATATATGATTTCAAATGTCTATAGTGTCACAGCTTAGTGTTTCTAAAGGACTTTTGTAGTGTTTTTATACATTATAAAATGCTTTTTGTTAGGAGGCATAAAAGCTGCACTCCTGCCTCTCTTTGTTTGAGTAGAGTAGTTAAGTAGTAAAATTACAATCTTTCTTTTTTAGTGTTTGTCAGACATTTATAACAGTGACTCTTTGAGGTTAACACTTTGACATTTGGTGAGGGGGGGTTTCTGACTCCGTTGGGTATGAGTTTGTTTCTCTTTAAATTTCCATGAAACATGTTGTTATCACTACTTTTGCTCTCTTTTAAATTAGTGCCGTTTCTGTTTCTACCTCTGTCATTTGCAAAATTCATGTTTTTCAGAGGAGCAGAATGGCAGTCTCAGTGAGGATGCACACGGTGACATCAAAGATCCGCCTGGATGTGATGCTAAAGAGCAGAAGGAGACAAAGCTGGAGGTGGCGTCCTTGTCATCGAGTGCAGAGTAAGCACAGACATGTTTTATAGACTTTACACAAGTTTCAGTACAATGTAAAAGAATATTACTGTTTGTTTTCTTCCCATGAACCAAAACACCACTGACAGACAGGTCTGATATTGATGACTCAGACCGCCATCATTCAGCTTTAGAGCACATCCTGCTCTACGCCCTGTTGACACAGCAGCCTTTTAACAGCAGTGTAAATAATAAAATGTTAATGGCTGTCATAATAGATGAAAGACATCAAAACATGTTTGAGTTTTTTTTATGGTGCTGCTTGGACCACTGCTTTATTAATTCTCTTCAGAACTCTTAATATTCATGTTTTTTAAGAATAATAAGAAATGAACAAAAGTACTAATACAGCATGTGTCTGAGTCATTCTACACACCCGTTAAAATTACTGGCAATCTTCACTAAGCCTTGTATCTTAAAAATATAATTAACTGACATTTTAATGTCTAAGTTTAATTATTTCTAGACTTCTTGTGCTGCAGTTGAGTAGTTTAGTAGAAATTTGTCCTTATGGGTTGCCCGCTGTAATCATCTGAGAAAGAGAGATACGCACGTGCTGTGAAGATTACAGAGGCGGCTTGTTAAAGTCAAAAAACTTGTCGGTAATTAATTTGATACAGTCTGAATGTTCTCATTATTCAGGTCTGCCGTCCAGTCCAGTAAACAGTCCATCCACTCCTGGAATGGTGAGGAGGTGGGGTCAGCCAGCGAGCTCATTGGGCTGGGCGTGTCTGCGCGCACATTCATAGATAAAAAAGAAGGTACGGCTTGCTTTGCCTCAATGACAGTGATTGTTTTGGAGATAATACTTTATTTCTTTGTGCATATAACAAAAAAATAATAATTTTCCACAGTTTCTTCAAATTCTTTTGTGTTTGATATTTTGGAAATGTATAAGAAGACATGGGCAGTTTGATGCTTTATTAAAAGTCCAGGTGAGCTACCTTTTAATCCAAGGACTGGCTGTCCCTCCCCCAATCTCAGATGCAGCAACCACCTCTGGTCCTGTGGACAATGATGAAGCTCCACAGACTGAACCGATATACTCAGCCATTGCACTGCAGCCACCAAACCAGTCCAACACTCCCCACACTCCCATTGTAGGCCCTCACTTACCCGATCAACTCCCCACAGCTGCTGGTGTCAAAGAACAGCACACAGAGGAGGAAGTCAGCCTCATCACTACAGAGGTATCCTTTAAATATAGTATGATAAGGTTGAAGTGTTTTCTGTCTGCTGTGAACTGCAGTTTAAAACGACATGCAAAGTTTTACAACTGGTGTGTTGGGTTAATATTCTACACTTTTCCTATCATACACACACTTCCCACTTTGGTGACTCCAATTCAAATAAAGGAAGGATAAGCTTATGCTGACTTGGCTTCTCTGACAACATAAGTTACTCCAGTAATGCACTTTTTGACGTTCACATTTTCTGAATGTCTTCAACATTCACTTGCTGAACCTTTATATATATTTGTGTTTTGAGTATCTGTTGTAACAGAAAACAAGTTTATGGGGTACATTCAAAGGTCTGCAAGCAGAACTTGGTTATAAGATAATATCTGCTAAAAGATTAGCATTTTTCCAGCATGTTTCAAGTCTGTTTACATCTGTTCATCACTTAATGAGGAAGTCTCTGGAATCAGGAAGTGCCATGTTTACGCTGTTGTGATCTGTAAAACTATCTATGCTAACAGGTCCTGACGTGAGTCTGACCTTCTACAGCACAAAGTACACAGAAACAAGCACCAAGTTAATTTTCCCTTATCTTTCTTCTGAGTAGTTTTTTTGTACTTTGATTATCAGCCCTTATATTAGATTCTTAAAAGCCTGCTTAGGTGTCTTATTATTTTATAGAGTTGAGTTTTGAGTGCTGCAGATTATGTTTAGTGCTAAATCTAAGTCTTTGTAATGAATGTTAATGACTTCTGCTCAGTTTTGCCTAAAACTCTTTACGCTTTCTCCTTATTTTTTCACTCCTCTTTTCACAGACCTCAAAACTAGTGGCTGAAACTAATGGACTACAGTCTCCTACCCACTGCCAGTCCCCTGGTGAGTCAAAGCACACCACAGTCGATAAGGACACAATTTCAAGTGAATAGTGATGAAAGTCATGAAAACATGATTGGAGATTAAGTGAAGCATCACGTAGTTTTGTTTAATTTTCAGCTGTAAGTGAGAAATCTTCAACCAGCCAGCAGAGAGTTGAGACAGAAGTGGAGGGAGAGACGCTGGAGGTGAGAGTGCAAGCAGTAAGACTTCACTTGTACCAATTTTACAGTTTTAATATACAATCTAATGGTAAATTGTAAACTTGTGTGCTAGATGTGGTGGTTAATTAGCATATACAGTAATACTCAGATACACCGTTTAAGTCAAATTGACGCTTTTCTTCTTTCTATTCTTAGCCGACTAACGGAGGTCCCAGGAGGGTTTTATTCCGAACACAACCAGATGTGCTTTTCCTCACCCTGCAAGATGGGACGACACCTGCCACCCCTTCTCCACCAGACACTGAAGAGGAAGATGAGGAGAATTTGAGTTGCACACGAAGATTAAAGGACAGAAGGATACACTGTACAGAAAGAACTGCTCTCAAGGAAGACTTTGTAACTCACCCTGAGAGGTAAACCGAATAGAAGAAAGCTATGGGGAAAAAACAGAATCTATCACTGGTTCAGATTGTTATGTGGAGGCAGTGTGGTGAATGTTATGGTTTTGATTTCCTAACTATCTTCTTTATGCTGTATATTATTGCCCTGGTCAAGCAGTAGCAGGACAGCACAAGAGGATTTTGAAGAGCCTCTGTCTTATAATCGAAAAAGGAACAAGCAAGCAGAACAAGAGTTGCATGAGATATCTGAAAACCTCTCCCATCGACTAGAAGAACTCGATCAGGTATGTTTGCATTTAGTTGACTGAAGTGATCAGCGAGTTCACAACTCAGTTGTGTCACTGTTCTCGAGTGAGTACTGGTTACGATATTTTAAGTCTTGTGTGATTAATGTAGATGCTTAAACGAGTTCTGGGGGAAACTGGAGAGTCCACCGAGGTCAGAGAGGAGGACAAGCAGTCGCACCACAGCGACAGCATCATGGAGCGTCGCAGGACTTCAAGACAGGACACAGGTGTGCACACATTTTTGAGCACAAACTTTGTTGTTGTTCTTTTCAATTTTGACAGTAAACTACTAACAAATGCCACAACTTTTATTATTAAATTTTACCACATCACATTGCCTGGTTGGTGAAAAAAGGATTTCCAGTTAATTTTAAAAATCTTGTTGTAGGTCTTTATATTGTTCTTAGAAAATACTATCTTAACCATTCTGGATCTCATGCAAATTAATGAAATTGGTGAAATATACATTTAACTGTTTCAGGAGCACCTGATATTGAGTCTACCCACCGAGCACGCTCCTTATCCCCTTCCCCTCCACGAGTCCGCCGTTCCCTGCAGGGACAGCTGGAGGATGTGATGGCAGAGGCTCTTAGCGTGGATGATGGGAGACAGTCCAACCTCACAGCGTCTGATCGATCAAGGCGAGGAGAGCTACACCACAGACCATCTCACAGAAAACATGACAAGGTATTAACACAGTACTAGTGCACTAAATATTACAAGATAATCAATTAGTAATAAATATGCTAAACTGACTTTTAAGTGTAGTTAAAGGACAATAATGATCAAGTTTAGTCATGAACGTTTTTGCAACTGGAAAAAAGGTCATATTTGGCAAATATACTGTGCAAATTTAAAGATGCAATACGCAAATGTGAGCAATATTTTAAGCAAAGAAAATATACAACCAGAAACGGTGAAGTTGCTTGATTACTTTCATATGCTTTGAAAATAAAATGATTATTTCTCTTTTTCAGTATCTGGAGAACGAAGCGTACGAGGAGGAGCTAAAAAGATATGAAGAAAAAGAACGTAAAGAGTTAGATAAGGCTCGCATCAAAGCTCGGGAAGCTGTAAGTTATAAATCCACGGTTTTCTGTTAAAGATTATTTAATTATTAAAAAAGTAAAACCTACCCTGGGTCCAAATAAATTAAAAAAAAGATGGTATATTCTAAAAAATAGGTACACCTTTGAGATAACATAAGTAGAAAAAAAATCTCTAACGTATGCGGAGGGAAAGCATATTGGTTCACAGAGAATACAAAGTTGAATCTGTTTAAACAAAAATCAGTGAACTATGGTACAGTAAATGTTTTGGGATGCATTCAAAGAAAATTTCCAAATAAGTAAATGGAAAAAAAATGACTAGAAAAATAAAAACTGCCCTTAATTTTAGGCGTATTTTACTTAAGACTTTTATAAACATAAACAACAAGATTTCCCTTTTAAAGCAATATGTCAAAATGTTAAAGAAGCAGTTATATTAATCTCTGTGAATCCTTCTGTTTAGTTGTGAGCGTAGAGTCGTTTGTTCTAGTTTACTAAACTGGGACTGTGTGTGTGCAGGAGCGAGAATACAGAGAGGCCATACTAAAGGATGTTTCGCCAGACCCCAGACCCTCACCAGCTAAACTGAAAGCTCAGCATAAATCACAGCGTACTGCACAAACCACACCAGGACAGAGACACGTGGAGACTCCCAGGAAAGCTCCATCAAGTAAGTTTAGACTTTACTTTATTTACCACATTGACCAACTTTTGGGATAAATAACGTACATCTTATCTTTTAAGGCAGAGCCTGTGTTTATTAAACATGTCTCGTAGTCAGTGTTGCTTGGACTGATGTGTATATGGTACACTGCGGCATTATAACATTACATTTTTCTCTAAACACTGAAATTGAAGTTGGTGTTAAAAATGAGTTTCCTCCACACAGTGGCATATTGACATACTTTACTGTTTTTAATATTACCAAAGTAAATGTTAGTCATGGATGAAACAACAACAAAGCAGAATTACATTTAAACAATGATCCACATTCCTCATATATGTTATCACTGTGGGTGAGGCTCAGGGTTTGGAAACTGTTCTTTTTGGCTGTGATCACTCAGCTTTAGCATTAACCAGTGTTTGGGTTTTATGAATGTTCGTATTTCTGGCTTCGGGCTGGCTGGCCCTCTGATAATCACAGAAATAGCACTTCTGGTAGATTCAGAGGTAAGGACACCAAGTGCGTTTGCTGCTGCAGCACTTTCTGTTGGACATTAGGTGAGTCTTCATCAGCTGAATGGACTCCTCATCTACTGTGTAATGTGGAGCTTTTCCGAAATGCATCAGAAAAAAGAGCTGAGAAACAAAAGGACTGACCATCTACAGATGGTGAAATACAGGAGAGGGTGGAGTGGAGGATGGAGTTCAGAGTACTTGAGTGTAGTTGAATGATGTAAAGCAAAGCTTAGAAAGAGTTTTCTACTTAAATCTTGTTGCTGAATGTGATCACTGCTTACTTCATTCTCTGGCAGATTTACTTGAAGGTCTTTAAACTAATGTCAGGCTTTATAACTTCATAGCCTTTAAATGGTTGAAGATATGGAACGTTTGGCAAATCGATTTTAGATTGAGAAGAAACAGATATTTTTTAAAAATGGTGAAGGAAAAAGTGTTTTGGTGATAGGTCTAAATTCAGAAGATTTGAGCATGCTGAAGCAATGATTCTCTTTTGGTGAGTGTTCTTGTTTGTGTGTTTGTTGTTTCCGTTTGTCAGTGGATTGCTTCTTGATGCTAAGAATGAAGATGAAGAGACTAGCCTGAAACATTTGTGGACAGGATTTACCAATAAATTGACACAGATATTACAACACCTCTGTATCTTCCACACTGCAAATATCACATGTTATGCATGACTATTACACAGGTTTGGCTGTGTAAATCATTCATAGCGATGCACAGAGAATCCAAATTAGATGGAAGTAGATTATTCACCAACGCCCGACCTGACGGTTGGTCCCTTACTTCCTTGTCGCCATGGCAACAGTACCAACCAAAAACACATACTTTAAGACAGACCGGGTCATAATGTATTATTGTTACACTCAAACATTGCAACTATTCTGTCTGTATTTGCTTTTGTTGTGTGGAAGTGAACCTCTGTTATTGTCTGTCTTTCTCTAACACTCTCCGCCCCGACTTTGCTAGAAAAAGTAATGAGCTCAAGGAAAACAATGCTTTAGGAAATATCCTATATCCTGTGATCCTCGGATAATGACTGCACACTCATACCAGATTTCAATTCGCTGATAAATAACATTTACATAATTTGCACCACTTCTAAACAGAGAGTTAGTTTAATTTTGTGTGAGAGTTGTTCGGCAGTCTTGTATTCTTAGTTTAACCTTTAAAACTGTGGTTTTGAGTTTTTCTTTAATCTAGTTTCCTTACTGGGTTCCTTGGGGATGGTTCAACTAGTATCTCTTTTTGAGCCACAGGTTTCTATCTGAGATTCAAAAAGAGAGAGAATCATCAGCTGCATTTCCTGTAATTTGTGGTAGTTTTTCCAGACAAAAATATTGAGTATCTTGTGACTTTGTGGTGGCTGAAGTTTCCACCCCTTGAGCGTGTAGGCAGATGATGTTGAAACCTGATGATGTCCCTCTGAAGAGCTACTCACTATGTCTAACTTTAGAAACATGTCTCTGTTGACAGTATTGAAGACTGAAGAAAAGATGAAAAGTGTCCGGATATAGGACAAGTAATGACATTCTTGTAAAGCCCCACATAAAAAGGCACACACACCAGGTCCCCTGCTTTGATGTTGGCTTCCCTGTTGAGCTGATGTTTGAGTTGTAAACAGAAAAAGACTTAATCCAATTAGACACGTTTCTGGTTAATCTGCTTTGGAATGGGTATAACTTTTATTCTTATTGTAGTAAATGCCATCCGTGGAGTCTTATAAATGAGACAGACATGTTGAATGGAGGATTGCATTGAAGTACGTTAGTTGTTAGTTTGTCACAAACAATAAATAAATGTTCTTCTCTGTGCTTCATGTGTCTCTACAGTGAGAATAATGGAGAATGAGCTTCTCCCGGTGCTCCGGGACGAGTTGCCTCACCTTCACATCTCACCTCACGCCCTGGGTCGAATGTGGCAGCAGCAAATGCAGCAGGTGGACAGACTCCACGTAATGTCGTCCAATCACAGTCGGCATCGCAGCAAACTCTCCAGAGAGGTAGGACAGTGGTCATTACATGTCTGGTGCATTTTTGACCTGTACTAGATCATCTGATGAATGGCCTCATTAATAAATATGTAATTAAACTTCCAGTTGGAGGAAGCTCAGAGGAAACACGATCTGCTGGCTGAGCTCGTTCATAAAGGACAGGACCACAGCAGGCGCCTGGTGAGCTTTAACATATCAGACAGTTACACTACAGTCCACTGTTGTCCCTTTTCCAAAACTAAACCCGGTCCTACACATTTCGACCAAACATCGTCTGGTGCAGGTGCCAAAAACCTGGCAACACTGAGTAAAAATCATTTCTCAAACCTTTCAACATAAAAGACACCAAAGTCAAGCTGGCTCTGCAATGGCGTCCTGTTGCTGTGCAAAAAAAAGTGCAGGACACAGGCTCTACCTGCCTGTGCTGGACAGCATTTCTCTAACTGACCTTTCAATCATTTAGAGAGACTTCAAAGAGCGAATCCAGCAGCAGAAGTCGACCCAGAACAGGCTGAGGGACCAGAGACAGCAGATAGCTCGAGCCAAGAAGTACCACAGCGACTATCATGTTCAGCACCGAGCCCGCCTCATGAGGGCTCGCACCAAGGAGGAGAGGGTGGGTACTGAAGGGACAGTTTAGGACTAAAGACAAGTAATTATTTACTCATAATCATGATGTTCCTCTTTGTTTTAAAAATGTGCATGCTGGTGCCTGATGTGATATTAACAAACTCACTGTGTGACAGCATAAATATATTTTATTGCTGTAAAGGTAGAAATGTATCCAGTGATCTCAGTTAACAAGCTGAAACATTAAATGCTGGATGTATTTGACGGCTTCTACTTTCTACAGTAGACTTAATATCGTACCTACCATTGTACCCTCATCCATGTCCTCTGAGTCCAGACTGTTTCTGACTCTAAGCAATAAAGTTTGACATCAAATACTGGTGTGGGTGTTTGAAAGGAGCAGTACAGGAAATATGAGCCACCAGCTTATTTTCCCATTTTCAGCAGCTCCCTGTAAATAGATAAATATGAAAATGAAAAACGTTTTACAACAGATATTTATAGTTACTGGACTGCTGTAGATTATTTATTATTTATCAAGTAGACTTCAGTAAAGTGTGTCTGTGTGTGTTTGCAGATGTTTCGGCAGCTATTCGACGAGGGTTTGGAGATACAGAAGAATCGGCTGAGAGAGCAGAGAGCTTATGCCAGGGAGCAGCGACTGGAACAGCAGAGACGACACGAGGATCAGATCAAGTCCATGGAGAACTATTATAAAGATCAGGTAAGATGCAGCTTTCTGCCATTTCAAAATAAAGGCGACGACACACCCATTCCAGGTGAAGTCGGTGACGTGCTGTCTCTCTTTCAGTTTTCACTGCTAGCTGAAAAACTTGCACAAGAGCGGCAGGACATCCAGGTTCGGAAAAAAGCTCAAGAAAAGGTAAATTATATACTCGTTACTGCTGCTTATTGTTAATTTAAATATTTGTTAGAAAGTAGGAAAATTAAATGTTCAAATTGCACCTGATCCCGTCAAAACGCATTAAAGAAATCAATGTAATTTGCTATACGGTCCAGCAGAGGGCACCCTTCAAACTCACCTGCATGCTCTGCAGGTAGAGAATGCAGTACCGCAGCTATCGTCCAGAAATCCAAACAAATAGTTGTCAAAACCAGGCAGCAGCATCAACTGTACATTTTTTTTATTTTATTTTTTTTTGTACACCTTGTTTCTCACAACCACAAAAAGCATTTATATAAAAGGAAATGCAGCGATTTGAAATTATTTTTGGTAGACGTTTTTCAGGATGAAGACAGAGCTGGGTCCCAGCTGTAGGACATCCAAGAGGGAATTGTATAAACTTTGTAGAGTTTTTATGTGATTTCATGTGAATCCACAGATTTTCCTGTGCATGGTATGCAGCATATCAAAACTAAATATATTACACTGAATTTTCCCAGTCCACTCTTAGAGATCAATATAGATAAATGATCAATCATTTAAATAATTTAAAGATTTACAGTTTATTTTCTTTCTTTTTTTCCCCGCAGGCACTGCTGAAGATGAAGCGAGAGCTGCGTTCCAGGATGGAGCGTGAAATCGGCGAATTGCAAAGAATCATAATCCAGAACGACGAGGACGACTACTTCCAGGAGCTGGAGATCGAGAGGCTGCGTAATCGGGTTCGGATGGCCTCCTTCCAGTACAACACTAGCTATCTGCACTGACCAAGGAAGACTCGGGTCTGACTGGTTTGAATCAAAGGACTTTCTGCCATTCACAGCCAACGGTACGAGAACCCGACGAACAGTACGATCTACTAAGGCGTCCTCCTTCAGAGCTTTGCACAGGAAAAGGATATTCTCTTTGTAAGAACTTGTTCATGTGCTGATTATTGATTACTGATGAACTGAACACACTCTGTCTAAATGTAGCTATTGGCTAGCTTGGCTAGCTCTTCCTCTCTCACCTCAGCTGCTGATCTTAAAAAGACACCTTGGACCTTTTCTGGGTGGATTTTTGGTACTTGATAACTAAGAATGTTTTAACTCCTTCACTGTGCAGTCTTTGTGTTGTTAATGTAGCAAAAAAACCTAGCAATGTTCTTCCTCTTGCCAAATAAGGACCACAGATGCAAAGTTAAGTATGAACGTCACAGACTGACGACTCTTAACATTTTTCCTTTTATGTGCAACATCTTCCTTAATATTTTAACCATGCCAGTGGATTATTTATTTTTTAACTTTAATGTTTGGATTTTAATTAACCTGGTTTGCTTTCTCATCACCGGGGTAGCGATAATCAGTCTTTAATGATCCCTTATTTTCCTCACCTCCATTGTGATTGTTTTTTTTGTTGTTGTTTTTTTAACCTCAGCTGAACTTGAAAGCTTTGGACTGATGCACAAAGGTTTCCTCCATTAAAAACACCGTCTACTGACACTGTATCGTTTCTATGAGCACACACACAACGACTGTCAGCACCTATTAAATGTGTGAGCGTGACTTGAATGATACATAGATGCCTAATACAGTCAACTGAATGATCATAAACATACTGTGAAGGATGAAAGTTGCTGTTTTAAATCTGAGGTAAGATTTTTTTTTTGTTGTTGTTAAAGTGAAGAGGAGACTGTGGCTCAGGACGTAGACTAGGTCATATAGTAATTTGAAAGTCAGCAGTTCAAGTCATCCAGGGGCAACCTCTAGACTTCAATCCCCACGTTAAGATGCATTAGAGCATTAACCTCTTGAAAGCCTACCAGGAGTAACCCTTGATGATCTTTTCTAAAATGAATGGTTTCTGTCGTGTTTCAGGCCTGTTACATGACTGGATGTGCATCAGAAGTTAGTGGGGGTGGTCTCTGCCTATGTAGCTATTCTTGGAAAACTATGACAACCACTAAAATAGCTTCCAAACTGACTTTATTGATACATGCTGAGGTTAATTGTTTGATCTCTGGGTAGTTTCCCCCTTCATAACAACTCTGAGTGAGGTGGTGTGTTTTTAAATAACTCATCCACCTGCGTAATTCGGTTAGGGGTGTTGGCACATTAACTGTCAGGTGTACTAGGCTCCATCGACGTTTGTGAGATTGATCAGCAAAAGCATTTAAAATCTCTGAGTGCTCTGTGGGAGTGGGCAAGTGCCATTAAACTACCAGTCCATTTACCATGGCATGCAGAGGAAAACTGGGTAATTTTTAAACATCTTTGCCTAAATGGTGACAAGTTTAAGCTTTTTACATGTCATCTGTATCCAGTTACCTTATCTAGAGGCCTTTGGATATATTATCTCCTTCCTGTCTGCC